AGGCAGGAAGCAAGAGAATTATCTGTACTGATGTTAAGAAGACTACAGACTAAGCGCACAGTGGCCTGATCTACATAGGTATCACACCATGTGAAGAAGGAAAACCTGATTCCTCCTGCACTCTGCCTATTCTACATAATAATGGATCTCTTGCAAACCAACAACTACTCACAGGAGCTTTCTATCTCTTTGCAATTTAAGAAGGCTTTCCCCCCCCCCCATTCTTGTGTCAATAACACAATACTCGATCTCCGGGAGAGGTATAAACCAGTTGTTTATTGCTAAAAAGATATTTAAAAACAATAAAAACAACTATTTACAATGTTAAAAGAAACAACTTAGCTTTCGCTGGTCCCCTGCCAGCGTCCTCAGAGTAAAGCTTAGGGGGTGGGGCGATTCTTTTTTATAAACCTTGCTGGCCTAACTGCTTACTCATTGCCCGTGTGATAGGGCCATCCCTCCTAGCTTACCATAATTGCCTTGATTGACAAGGATGGGAGGGGGGAAAGGTGTGGAATTGGAGTGCAAAAAAGAGGAGGCGGGACAATCAAGGCAATTATGGTTAGCTAGGGGGGATGGCGCTATCACACACGGTATCCACAGGATATGGTTGAAAAAATAAAGATAGGGGCCATGATGACACAGTCAAAGCTCTGCCTGTTTTTTGTATGTGTGTTGCATAAAAATGAAAGGAAGGAAAGACAATAGAGAATACAGGATAATTGATGGAAGTACTGTATGAATCAATCCATATGGTTCTTCTTACAACTAAAGACTAGACTAAAGTTCAGAGCTTGTCTTTTTTAAAATATATTTTATTGATTTTTTTACAATAACAATCTTTAGTGCTTAGTAAACAGCATATTGTCTGGGTTCATATATTTAAAAAATAATAAATAATAATTAATTTCTATAATTCCATAATCAATCTATTAATTAATGATATATTTCCTTGATCTTCTCTTCTTCCAATAGTACTCTCCTTTTATCAACATTAAGCAAATATAATAATACTTTCAATACATACAAGGTTGGATATAAACACTTTTCTTCTGTTTGTACAAATAACAGTAACATCAGCATATAACAACTTTTCTGGTCTGCTTATGTTTCAGTTGTATTTATAAAAGTCATCTTATTAAGTCACTATATATCCTGTTTTCAAGATTCTTATTTAAGCTTAATTTCCTCTCTGTATTCAAACCATTCTTATCAGTCATAATTTTATCAATGTTAATTACCTTTAAATATCCAAACTTTTCATTTACCATCCCAATATTTTTATATTTCATATATTATAAAGAATACTATACTACTTATATATCGTATCCCTCTTACTGTAGGGTCCCTTTATATCCATAATTTATTCTTTTAACCATATTCAAACAAGTGTTTAATCATATAGTACTCCATCTGGTAAGTTGAATCAAATCTCTTGGATCTAACTCTAGCCTTCTTTTGCAAAGTAGCTTTACAAGTCAGTGTGTTCAGCTTGCCAGGGGATTCTTCCTGTATTTTGTGAATGTTGTTAGGAATAGAAAAGACAAGTCAGGTAGGATATGCATTTTTTGTCTTCCAAACTCTAATAATTCTCCTGGCTGCTCTATAATCCATTTTGTTAGATCTTCTTTCCTATCTTCAGGTTTATTTTGAAGTCCTGAAAAACAAGATATCTTTTCCATTTCTGTTGTTGTGGCAAAATCTTGCAAGTTTTCTTTTGTATGTATTAGACTGTGGTTCTCTTCATTTGTAGCTTCTCTCTTTGGGTCACTGTCCTCTGGTATCTGGTTTGTTTGCTCATTCTTTGTTGTCATTTTCTGAGAGTTTTTTAATTGTAGGTTTAAGTTAAAGATGTGCTCATTTATGTTGTCAAAGTTGTTTTTAATCTCATCATGATTTGAAACCATTGTCATTTGAATCTGTCACAGCATTGCATACATTTCCTTCTGGAAAATATTTGCCTTGTCTTGAAGTATGCTCCTGCAGATCTCTGATGTTTCAGGCTAGGGCCTTCAGAAGGAGATATTAGGTGTGTGGTTTCCTGCACTTTTAGATAGGTATGTAACATCCATTTTATCTCTCCCCTCCAGATAGTCTTTCACCAGTAACATAGTCTCTGTAAATAGCCTTGTCAAACCAGCCAATCTTAAAGTCCAAACAATCAAATCTTATATAGTTCTTATCTTTATATATGGTTTTTATAAATCAGTGTGTTTCCAATTATCAAAGCACCGCTAAAAGCAGTATTTTATAATAGTTCTTCTATTCAGGGGTGTTACAATTATTGGCCAGTCAAATTACAGTCCAGAATGTTTAACCACCTAGAAGATTAGCCAAAAGTCAAGGTTTTTCTTTCTCTGCAAACAATTCTTGAGCTTAGAAATCACAGCTCAGTAAGTATTTATAATCCCAGAAGGTCAGCAGTTTTTAAAACAAATATAGTTCTCACTCTGTAGTAGGTAGCCCGGTGTGTTTTCTTTCCTCTGTTCCCAGATGTTCTCTATTTGGTGAGAAGCCACTGAGGTTCAAAGGAACAAGTTGTTCTTTTTCTGGGCATCTTGCCAATTTTTGAGTCAACGCAACTGTTGTTTTATGCCCTAATCTGCCACTAGATGTCAATAGCTATTCATTTTTCAACTTTTAAAGCAAAGAGTTATTTTCTTGTAATTTCATCAATACCCTTTCAGTTGTAAAGTCATAACAGTTTTCATAATTTTCAGATTTATCCAGATTGTAGTATTATTAAGTTCATTTCAATATATTTCTGTCCCCCATAAAAATTAAATCGCTGCTTCCGTCTATGGAAGGATGGGGGTGTGATCCCCTCCCTTCTCACTTTCGGTGGATTTTTTGCCTCTTGGGGATCTTTTCCAGGAAATCAGTTACAAAATAGAAGAGAGAAGATCAATATTCTCACCCAGTTCCAAGCACGCTGTTCACAGTTGTTCTAGTTAGTGTTTTTGGACTTTGGCTGCTGGTAGCTTGGGCTAGTCACAGGTGTGCAGCTAGCCTTTTTCCTGTTGGGTTGGAGGGCTGCCCCCAGAACAAACGGATCGACCACTGTCTTTCTGTGATCCATGGGGGGGGCCCTCCTTCGTCGCCTCTCTGAGGTGACTTTAGACCCATTTAGAACCTGGCAGGGCAAAAACAGCCGAGGGGTGCAGAGCTCCACAATACATCGGCCGTTTCGCAACAGCACAAAACCAGAAGTCCGAGCTTGTCTTTGGGGGGGGGGCTGTTGGAGTCAGGTTGAGTGCTTAGACTGGGCACTTAGCCAAGTGATAAATTTGCTGCTTGGGTGGCAACTTGAGGGGGGGGGAAGTTCCTTTTCCAAAGATTGGAGCAAGCAGGGTGCAGAAAGCAAGACGAGTATAGCTGCTTGAAATCTTTCAGCATATCTATCCATATGAATGAAATATGGTTTGCAGAATGGACTGTATAATATTGTTTATTTAATGGTTGTAGCAAATGGTTAGTGTGGATTTTAATTGTTGGTGCTAGTTATTTTTAATGTGAGTTAGTTATTATGAATGTTTTATTTATACCTACCTTACTGTGGACATGTATTGTTTATATTTTAAATTATAATATAGATGTTTATGTTTTACACTATACTGTAGATATTATTATGTATTACAATTGTATTTCTTGCAGTCAAACAATTCTGAGTGGTTAATATAGAAACAACAGTTCTAGACAGTAAAGTAAGTCTTCTTTGATTTACTGTGGCATACAAATCTGATAGGCAGACAGATTCTATTACTACGGGTATTATTGATTTAAGCTCATACAAGCATTCTTCTTTCAGCTATGTAATTATCATTATGTTTCTATAATCATTCCTGCAGTAGTTTTCCTGACTTGATGTGCATCAGATGCATTTGACCAGGGAAATATGACTAGGTGAAGGCTGAGGATGATGGCAATTGCAGTCCCACAAACATTTAGGACTTAGCTGAAGAAAGCTAATGGCCTATACCAGTGATGGTGAACCTTTTAGAGACCGAGTGTCCCAAAACCACCCCACCCCACCCGCCCTCACCCTGCTCCGTCCTCACCCCACCCATCCTCAGGGCCATCCACGGCCTGCCGCATATCGCCCAGGTGGCCCTGCAGCACCATGGTGGCCACGCCCTCTGCCTGCGCCCCGCAGCATCATCTGCTGCCCAGCTGCCATGTGCTTGGCTGCGCTGCTCCACATGGGCCACACCTGGGGGTGAGAGGTGGGGCTGGGGTGACGGCGTGCGTGCCCACAGAGAGAGCTCCAAGTGCCGTCTCTGGCACTCGTGCCATAGGTTCACCACCACTGGCCTATACTTTGTCTAATTCTGGAGCAAAGAATAAATAGAATAGCTCATCCAAAATTTCTTTACATTACTAACTGCACATTTTATTCCATTCCCATAAAAAGCAACAACAAAAGGGATTGTGCCCATGATTTTCTATAACAGAGCAACAAAAAGAATCCATAACCTTGATTACTGCTCCTTGCATGCTGACAAAACCATGCTCCAGAATGCTCCCCATTTATCATATGGGGGTCCATGGCAAGACATGTGAGAAGCATTCCAAGAACACCATGAAAACTACTTAATTGTAGCGTGATTAGTAGATCCTTTTTACAGGGGGGGGAAGCCAAAGAAAAATAAAAGTGTGTGAAAGAGGAGGGGTCCCCAAGCCCCAGGTCGTGGCCCACTACCAGGCCGCAGCCTGTTCAAAACTGGCCCACAGGAGAAATGGGCAAATGCACGCAAAGCTCCCCTTGTACAAATGGAGAGTGCTTGCACTCATGTGCAAAGCACCATTCGCATGAATGGACCTTTGCCTGCGAGCGCAAGTGGCTGCCATTCATGCTAGTGGAGCTTTATGCTCGAATGCAAGCACCTTCTGCTTGCACGCAAAGCTCCATTCGCACAAGTGGAGGGTAACGCACATGTGCTGCTCGCACAAATGGAGTTGTGCATGTGCATGCCTACCACTCACTCACCCCCTCCACTCCCATGCCGGGCCAGGCCACCAAGCTGGAAAGGTTGGGGACCGCTGTGGTAGAATGTCCTGTTGCAGAAGTCAGGAGTAATACATACTACTCATTTTATGTGAAACTCATCCTGGATAACAGGAGGATATTACTAGCAGAGTTCTGGAGCTATGCATCTCTGCAGGACAGCACCTTGTTTTTATTGATATTAGACCTATTCAATTGCTTCAAATTCTGATATGGTGCATGCTGAAACATGTCTCTCTTCTCTGACCTCTTTCTTTTAAAATTGATGTAGTGGTTGATTCAGCACATCCATGTGTTCATTTCTCACTGAAAGAATCACTCTGAATAGACTTGTCTGCAGCCTTGACATTTCTGTACACCACATTGTGACAGGGAAGGAATGTCAACCAGATAGCTTTGGACAACACCGAGCAATTCCAATAACCATTTTATTATTTTCCTTTCACACCGCACTGCCTTCTGAGAGTGGCATCCTTGGCAACAGTTGTATCAAGGCAGATAAAGATTAAAAATAAAAAAATACGATTCTTCCTGATATAACTGCTATTAAAAATATTTGCAAAAAAAGTATTTGAGATGGGAATAATTTCCATAGAATTAGACATGGTAGTCTTTTGCAGCAAAATCACCTTAAAGACAAACTGAGGTACTTTGGCAAATAGATTTGGCAGCATATTATTCTTGCACCATAATACATTTGCTTGCTACTAACATCATCCAAATATTCTTGTACAGGTGCAATTTAATGTGACAGATTATTTCTGAATGTAATTTCTAGCCTGGTGTAGATACAAAAATGTGTATCTACAAAATATTTAACCACTAGTGAGCTGAAAACAAACTAATTGTGTGCTGATGCTGGTGATAGATATGTCAGCATCAGTTCTTTTATAAGGAATAGAGTTATTTGAATGGTCTTCTGGTAATAATGTTGGGGTCGTATCTGTTGTACTGAATCCCATGTGAATTCACATTCCTACATGGACAAAATCTAAACCTTATGAATGCTATTGAGGAACTCTGTATGTCTGAATTTACATTTCAGTTGGCTTAACATGTGTGAACCATTGTGATTTAGTTTTACAGGGTAAACAGAAAATATTACCCAAACCAATTATACCTTATGTAACAAGCACTCATAGTTTATTATAGTGTATGGCTTGATTAATGAAACTTAATGAGCTTGGCCAAAATGGTGGCCATGTTTGAATATGCTTGAACATATTATGGCAATGCAGACATTGTCTCATCTTGTTGTACTAATATAATCAGCTAGACATTAGACTGTCTACTGCAATACATTATGTTACGCTAGGGGTCCCCAACTCCCGGTCCTTGGACCAAAACCGGATATGCCGGAAACCAGTCCATGCAAACAAGTGAAACACCATCCGTGGGATGCAGGCAGCATGCAAAACCATGCCCCCACGGAAAAACCTCCCTCCACAGACCCAGTCCCTGGTGCCTAAAAGGTTGGGGGCCACTGTGTTACGCTGCTCCTCTAATCTCTGTTTTAAAATATACAGTCTCAATTACATTGCTATCCATAGTATTGAATATACTAAAATATGAGAGACAGGCAAGTATTCCCATGAGCCTGGAGACATTCTGTCTATTCGAAGCAAAGTCTTGTTCACATTTTTCTTTTCTGAAAACATGCCTGTTTCTCAGCTTTCATAAGATAAAGGGGATTTGCATTTTAAAGAAGATCACAGAAAGTGGAAGAACAAAGTTAACAGAAACAACAACCAAATATCTCCTACTGTCCAGGTCTTGGGGTTATGAGTTTGTATTTCTTATTCTTTAAAATCAATGAAACAACACATCTTTTTGCAAACATTAACATGATGTTCATGAGAAGAATTCTACTCTAGCAAGTCACCAAATGTTCAGTGTAAGGCTTAGACTTTTAAATCATCAAGTCAAACAATGAGTAATATTAACTGGACCTTTATTTCCCATTGCAGATTTACGCCGAATGACAGCCGGTTTTATGGGCATGGCAGTGGCCATCATCCTATTTGGATGGATTATCGGGGTGCTGGGCTGCTGCTGGGATCGAGGCCTTATGCAGTATGTGGCAGGACTTCTCTTCCTCATGGGAGGTAAGGAGAAAACAAGTTGAAAATACATGCCCCCTTTAACTGCATCAAATGTAATTGCAAGGTCCTAGAAAACGATCCCCTATTCAGTTATTATAGAAATCAACAGCAATGTGCTTAAAGTTTTCTATAACAACTGGTTTTTATAATTAGATATAGGTAGTCCTTACTTAACAACTGGCCTGTTTTAGCAACTGTTTGAAATCATGGTGATGTTCAAAAACTAACTTTACAATGAGTCCTTGCACTTATGACCACCACAGTGTCCCACAGTCACATGTTCAAGGTTCAGGTGCTTCACAACAGCTGGCATTGATGACCATCTGGTGTTGATGACCATCACAGCATCCTGCAGTTATGTGATTGCTCTGTGGGTGCTTCACAGCCAGCTTCTGACAAGTCACCCGAGAAGCCAGCAGTAAAATCACAAGGGATCATGGAATCTTTGGCTTAAAGACTGTAGCTGACTTGCTTAACAATTGCAACAGCAATGAGATTATACATTTGTTGTGATCACATGATGTCCAGTTTAATTATCATGTCACTTAGTGACACAGTTTCTGGTCCCAAATTGGCCATTAAGTGAGTACTACTTGTATCAATTTTCTTGTATACTGCTTAATTTAACTTCCTTTTTTAAAGCTTATTTTATTTTCCCACTTTTTGAAATGCTGCCTACTGGTGCTGTTAGTTAGTTAGTTAGTTAGTTAGTTAGTTAGTTAGTTAGTTAGTTAGTTAGTTAGTTAGTTACTTACTTACTTACTTACTTACTTACTTACTTACTTACTTACTTACTTACTTACTTACTTACTTACTTACTTACTAAATTTATCCCTATAGAGCACTGAAATTGAGCTTGCAACCTGAGTCTGAGACTGGCTCTACCAATTCATAAAAAATGTATCTATTTTACAAACTTCTACCTTTGTCCTGATTATTGGTATCTCAGTTTGTTCCCCTATCTCTAGGCCTCACAGGGGATAGGGGAAATTCCATGCTCTGGTTGTTATTCCATCCTACCCTACTATACCATAGCATGTAGATCAGCCTCAGTTTAGTTTGTTTTCTGGGGTGATGCACTGCTAAACCAGCCATAAGCGTTCCTTTAGATCTTCTGATAATAATTGGCCTGTTTGGATAATCAAATCCCTAACTTCCTTTTTATACCAGATCTCTGAGTGGATGAGGAAAATCCCCAGTGTCTTGCTATTGTTTTTGCAGTTCCACCTTTTCTTCAGACACTTTGGATATTCTTCCTCTTTCCATGGAAGTCAAGTTTGCCCAAATTGTAAAGATTCCCAGTTGATGGTGCTGGGTCTCTTAAAGTTCTTCTAGGGCTGATATGGTCAGTGACTTGACTTTCCAATGTCAAATGTTGCAACCAATCCATAGACAGACAATGACTATCGTTAAGGGCTAGTTTGTTCCTAGAGGATGCCCAGGAGTGATTTCTTATCATTGTGTTCCTTACTGACTTATCCTTATCATGATGGCTTACTTATTTAGACTCAGTTGTCAATTAAAACAAAACAACAAAAAAGGAGTCAAATTCTAGCTAGTCCAGAACCGACCCAGATTGGATCCTGCAACATTATCCTGGGACATATATATTTGCCTTCATTATGTCTTCAACATAAATAATGTACTGTCATTCACTGTTTTGCCAGTATTAATCATGGACATACAATTAATCATGGACATACAATAAGCATTCTAATAATATCCTATTGTTAATAAGTCAAAAGCTGTATGCTCCAAAATATCTCTGTTTGACCTTATGAATCTGTGTAGACTCCAGTCCAAAACCAAACCATGAAATCCCTAATATTACTCCCACTAATGAGGAACTAGCACCAATGCTAGCATAGTCCTATCATTCTGATGTTGGAAAAGGTGTCTTATGCCATCGTATATCATTGCATGCTCTACATAGAGCATATCTTATATTCAGGACAAAAACCAAGAATAACATCAATCTTTTTATGATACTTGCCCATCTTTAATCAGTGTAACCAGATAATTACATTTCCTTAAGGTTGCATGCTTTAGCATGTTTCAGAAATGTATGTTCTCCATTGCCATTTGACTATTGTTGATAGAGTCCATCACTGAAGCTGCCTTAAGTTCTCTGCCATTGTGTTAGTTATGAGAATATTGCTAAGTGAAGGGGATTTTTATAGCCAGTAGGGCTATAAACATAGGGAAGATTGTCCCATCTCCCCTATGTTGACCCATCTCCCCTATGTTGACCATATGTTGACCCATCTCCCCTATGTTGACTACATTGATTACTGTTTAAGGCTTGATCCAACTTGATTCCTTTTGGCCTGCTTACCTAACTTGGGTTGAGAGGACAGAATCTACTGCAGTGTTAGATAACAATGAAGATGGTTGATGTTTATGGAGATTCTCAGTCATCCAAGTCATGGTTGTCCCAAAGATGTTTTTGCTTGAAGTTATTTTGCTTCTCATCCAAGAAGCTTCTTCAGTTCTTCAGTTTCAGAACTGAAAAAGCTTCTTGGATAAGAAGCAAAATGTCTTCAAGCAAAGACAAAGAAAAGTCTAGCTGCCTTTTGAAAAAGCATCTTTAGGACATGAAGTTGGCCACAGTTTTGAGATGAATGTGGTGGTAACAGGAAACATCTAATTTTTAAGAGTCAGAATAATATTATTTTTTATTGTGTTTGTTTAAAAGAACAGTGAAAGTTTTCAGTGAGGTATTTGATTTTGTACTTTTGTCTATCAGTGGATGGGAGGAACCTGGAACTATACAAAGATGAATAAGAATGTAGATCAAATGCACTGAACAGTAATTGTTAATAGGAAAATTATTATTAAATAGAAGCATTGCATAGATTTCAATTATAGATCCAATGCTATTCAATATCTTTGCCAAACATCTGAAAAAAATTAAAAACAAAACATTGCTGACAAGGAAGGACCTCTGAAATGGCAAACAAAAGCAAATAAATCAATTCTAATAAGCAAATTCAAATCTTTCGCTGTGCTTCTAAAAGCTCAGATTTGTCAATTTTTAACTGCATTTTTAGTTACAGTTGAAGAATGGTACTAAAAAGAGTCAAAAACAAAATGACTACCTGCTGACTCTCACTTCTCTCCCCTGAGTCACTAGCCTACTGTATTTTTTTCAGAAGCCATATTTAATCTGTGGCTAAGGAATAGCCTGAGTTATCATAGGGTGAAACAGCCTAGAAAGAGGAATATCAAAAAGCAACAAGCTTTGAGCTCCTAGGTTCACACACACATGCCTATACTCTTAGACTAACATTTATATGTATTAATATTTAAACTATTAACTATGACCATCTAAGTAGCTTTGGTTTTGTCCAGAAGTTATTTCTCATTGTAACTGTCCTGTCTAATTTTTGCAGTCCATTGAATTAAAGATATTCGGTATTAGAATACAGATGGTGCTTTGGATCAGCTTTGCCAGGCTGGTGTCCCAGTGTCCCTGCACATTTAACAAATTTTAGCTGGTCCAGCATGCACCTGCCCAAGTAATTATGGACAATTATTGCATACTGAAGGAGATGTCTTGACTTACAACCAGCCTCTTAGCGACCATTTGAAGTTACGATAGACCTTCCCAGGGCTACTTACAACCTGGATTTGCAGTTCTGATGGCCAGAACCCCCTTTGATCACATGATTGCATTGGACATGTGGCAAATGGCCTGTATTTAAAATTTCCATTGCTAAGAAAGGTAGTTGTTAAGTGACTTTTGCCCCATTTTATGACCTTTTTGCCACAGTTATTAAGCAAATTACTGCAGTTGTTAAGTGAATCATGAGGTCATTAATACGGCTTCCACCAGTGATTTGGCTTGTCAAAAACTGGTTAGGAAAGTTACAAACGATGATCACATGACCCCTGGACAGTGCAACTGTCATAAATAAATGCCAGTTGTCAAGCACCCAAATTTTGATCATGTGATCATGGGGATTCTGCAACAGTGTGAAAATTGATCAAAAGTCACTTTTTAAAATGCCACTGTAATGTTGAACAGTCACTCAACAAATGGTTGTAAGTTGAGGACTACCTGTATTTTCAGTTTCTGACAAAAAGTACCCATTGCAGATCATGGAATAGCTTAAGGATACCACAGAAAAGATCATAAAAAATCATGGTGACCCTCTTAATGACCAGTACAAGTGATGACCATAATTCCAAGCTCAATTACAGTCTTAAGTCAAGGACTACCTGTAGCTTCTAGGCAGATTGTCATCTTTAAAACTCAGGATCTGTATATCTCCAAGGTTGCCTTTTTCAAATTGACTTTATCTACCCAGAGAGGTTTGTGAGAGTCATTACACCCAAGGGGATGCCAACCCAGAGAGAATCTACATCAGGGGTCCCCAACCCCCGGTTCATGGACTGGCACTGGGCCACGGCATGCCAGAAACCGGTCCGCGCAAACAAGCAAATCCCCATCCACAGGATGCAAGCAGCATATAAAACCACGGCCCCTCTGGTCCGCAGAAAAATCTCTCTCCACGGAACCGGTCCCTGGTGCTCAAAAGGTTGGGGACCTCTGGTCTTTTCAGGGATGGACCAGGTAGTCGGGCAGTTCTTCCCTATTTCATTTTCAAAGAGCTCTAGAAGTATAATTCTTCAGAAATCTGACCCCTGCTTCTCTCAGCCCATCTACGGTAAATCTATAAGAAAAAGTGGAATAAGTGTTCACTAAACCAGAGCTTAGCACTGAAAGTTTGACTCAGTGCACAGATTGTATTAAATCTCTGTTTCTGTAATACTGAACATATATAGTTAAACCACATTTAAACCTAGCACGCCATGCTAGCTGGGATTGTAGGGTTAAGTTTAGAGTTCACTGTGTCATATGATTGAAGTAAATTGGGTCTGAATGTGTTTTGTTAGTATTGGATTAGCATTTCGTGACCTCAAGCATTGTGACTGGTAAACTAGGGCTTGTAGCCTAATGCAGTCTGCAAACTCACCAATAATGGGAGAACCAAGCTGGT